CCCCTGACCCCAAGTCAGGGACTGGGAGACGTAGCACAGGAAAGGCCAAGTGGGTTGGTCTCCTGAATACACATGTCTTACAGCACGGGTTACAATATCAGTTACAATATATATATAAAAGTCTTTGATTCATATATATATATATATTATATATATATGAATCACTGGGGTGGTATTGTAACAGGTACAGGTTTCATGGACTCCGCCCCCACTCCAGAAGCTGGAACTCCAAATCCCATCAGTACCAAGGAGAAGCACGCCGGGACGTGAGGGCGGAGCTGAGCAGCCAGGTTGGGATAAAACCGGACACGTGGGCTCTGGGGGTCTCTTGGCCTGGTGGTTCGCAGCTGATCGTTTTGGCGCTCAATTGGTTTTCAGCGTGCCGGTGGAGTCCAAGTCAGCAGAACTGGTAGGACATCCTAGTTAACTTGTGTTTCTCTCTCCCTCTTTCCCTGGGTTAGGTTATTCCCTTACCTTTCTCCTTATAAATAAATCCATTATTTAACCTTTTTGAGTGTGTCCATAATACGATTCAATCGTAAGCGCATGGGTGAAGACCCACAGACGGGCAACCCAATTCACATTGGGGTGCCCTGTAACAGTGTCACTGGGATCTTGCTTCTCTAGGAATCTACAAAAGTTTAAGTAGAGAGTCAAAAACAAGATCTTTCCTAACAATTCTCAGTCAGACTTTCCCTGAGAAGAATTTTTGTACAATATTATCACAAAAGAATTTTACTCAGTAGGGAGATGAAGGTATAAATTGAGAAGAAATCTGAGAAAATAGGCTAATAACAATCTGAATATAATAAAATATTTTCCTAAGTATGCACCAAGAACTGCAAATTCTTAACAGTAGTCACCATGCATTACGCTGGCCTCTTTCTGGTCCTAGGAAATGGAGAAGCAGCTAAGCAGCACCTGTGGGCAGCAGGGTGCTGAGAGGGAGGTTTTTGTTTAGGGCTCAACCACCGTGGGAGGAGCATGTGTATTCTGCAGGCAGTAATAGACTCCAGCATCCTCAGCCTCCAGCCTGCTGATCTTCAGGGTGAAATCTGTCCCCGACCCGCTGCCACTGAACCTGTCCGGGACCCCTGTTGCCCTATTGGAAGCCCAATAGATCAGGTGCCTTGGAGACTGGCCCGGCTTCTGCTGGAGCCAGCTCAAGTAGGTGTATCCATCACTATGGAAGAGGCTCTGACTGGCCCTGCAGGAGATGGAGACCTGCTCCCCAGGGGCGACAGCCAGGGAGAGGGGGGTCTGGGTCAGCACGACATCCCCACTGGAGCCTGAAATAAAAGAGAGATAAGCCCATGGTTATACACATGTTATAAACCATTTCCATGATTTTTCACTTGGTAATTATTTAAAAACTAGATCATCTTTTGTGTAATATTGCTTGAAAATAAACATGTCCATTTTCAAAGCAGCGTAGGGGTCACTAGGTTTCTCTTACACCCTTCCCCTCTTTCTGTGTCACAGTCTTCACTAGGGTACAGGTCCTTGATATGAAGTCCTACTTCTCAAAGCTTGAAACATTCCCTGCAGCTCCCCAGACACTGAGACCTGTGTCTGGTGCGCCCAGAACACACAGGAGCGGCCCCTGGGCTCCCCTCACACCCTGGGGCCACCCCTGCCCTGGGCCTCACCTGGGCTCCAGAGCAGCAGCAGCCCCAGCAGCTCTGCAGGGAACCTCATGCTGACAAGCTGACCTGAGGAGCCCCTGAGGGAGCAGGGCCCAGCTGGCCTTTTAGCTCAGACCACAGGGGCAGCTCCTCCCTGGGGGCCTCATGCAAATGCCCTGGGTGGGTGGAGAGAGCCCAAAAGGGGTGCAGGAACCCCTGTGATGAGCCTGAGCACAGTGGCCTGGCTGCTGGGGAAACTAAGTGAGGAGGCCCCTGCTCCCCCAGGGGTGCCGTGAGAGGTGGCCCAGGTGCTGGACAGGGCTGGACAGAGAGCCTGCCCCCCAGCCCTGAGCTTGATTTTAGAGATCATGTTTGATTTACTGAACTGACTTTGACCACTTAACTGACTGTGTTCCATCCAGATATTGTTTCTGGTGCCACTCTCAAGCATTCAGTTCACCCATGAAAGTCAGACCCTGGGAACCCTCAGCTCCCCTAATCTTCAAGCCCCAGTCTTGAGGCCACACCCCCTTCATCCTGCTCACTCACTCCCACGGACCATATAGATTTTCCTGCCTTACGAGCGTGACTGGAGCTGGGTCTGGAGTTGCCTCGTCGCAGCTGCGTCACATAGCAAAATTCGAACTGAATCCATTTAAAGATCTAGTTGACTTTATCAAATGAGCCATGTATGTTGTAGCTTCTTCTGGCAAGTTCCAGGTACTGCAAGTTATTCAAAATGGAATATAGTTACTTTATATAAAACTGTTATAGTGAGAAAGACGGTGGGACATTTGTTCTCAGTTTGGTTCTGCATAATCTCTTTAATAAGTTTCTCTCTTATTTCACTATATTGATTGTTTCAGTCAAGATAGATCCATTGAGAGAGAGAGAGATACAGGCATGAGTGTATGAAATTCCCTTGGGGTGATGGGATAACATTAACAAAAGATAATTACATGTTATTGTACAACATTTTTTTCTGGATAGAAATTCATTCAATTATTTATAAGACTTGGGAACATTGTCTAGCTGCTGAAACTGTTTGCCTCTTGTACCCTGAGCTCAACATTTGTGGGGAAAGAACATGATATGGATAGACATTCCTTACAGTGATCCATCCACTTTTGTCACCAAAAACAATCAAATACACATTCCTTTGGCCAACATTAGTGATCCTTGCAGGTCTGTGCCCTGTATGTGTTGAAATCATGATATATTTTCTAGAATTTTCTTTTGATTTTAACCTTTTGACTCTCTTCAGTCATTTCTCTACATCAACCCCAAAGGTTTGTTTTCTGAGTTTAGTGAGATTTTCTCAAAAACTGAAGAAGAAACAAACAAGTTGAATGGTTTCCCGTGTTCAAGTTTTGGAAGAATTAGTATTGCTAAATGACAAGGCACAGAGAAACTGAGCAGAAGTTTTCCCACAGAGAATGTGAAAAGATGACCAACCTCCCCAGTCACCAGAAAGTGCACATCAAAGATCCGGTGAAATAGCCCCTCCCCGCCACCTTTCCTTACACCCCCTCCAGTGCCCCTACTATCTCCACCCCACCCCCCCATTCACCTCTGGTAATCTCAGTCCTGTTGTCAATATCTATTAGGTTACTTTTTTCATTGTCCACTCCTCAGCTTTGTTGCTTCATGTTGGTTATAGCTAAAATCTTCCAATGTTTGTATTCCTTCTCTGACTTATTTCTGTCACATAATTATCTTGAGTTCCCTCCATTTGTACAATGGGTAAAATTTCACTTTTGGGGGGCCCTCCCTGGTGGCGCAACAGGTTGGAGCACAGCATTGCTAAGCTGGCCGTGCGAGTTCGATCTCCTGCCCTGGAGGTGACCCAACATGGCGAAGCAGACCTCTCCTGACCCGCCTTCTGCTGCCCTCAGCAGTGCGCTTCAACCATATGCCTGTTTTGCTCCCCACTCAGCTTCTGGTGAATTGTCTCACGGCCTCTGCACCTCTGGCCTGTACCCCAATTCTGTATGCAAAAATAAATAAAATCTTTAGAAAAAAATCACTTTTTTATAGTTGAATAGTATTCCTTTGAATATTTTTGACACATTTTTTACATAGCCATATATCAATGGGAACTTAGTTTCCATGACACAGAAATTATAACTATTGTAACAAAGATTGTGCTGCACTCTACTCACTGTTTCTTTTTTAAGATGTATTTATTTATGCATACAGTACTGAGGAGAGCAGCGGGTGGGCCAGGAGAGGTCTGCCACGCCATGTGGTCTCCTCCGGGGCAGGCGGGGATCGAACTCATGCAGAAGTGGCT